CTGGAGTTCGTTTTTTGTGTGTGGTGTGAGGTGATCATTGTTTTTTAACGTTGCATAGTATTTCATTGTGTGTAGGTACCATAGTTTGTTGATCCATTACTCTGTTGATGGACATTTAGGTTGTTTCCATTTTTTTTGCTGTTGTGAATAGTGCTGCAGTGAACCTTAGCATGCATATATCTGTTCATATCACGACTCTTATTTCTCTAGGATATATACCTAGTAGTGGGATTGCTGGATCGTATGTTTCCTAGTTCCGGGTTTTTAAGGAAGCACCATACCATTTTCCATAGTGGTTGCATCATTTTACAGTCCCACCAACAGTGTATGAGGATTCCAGTTTCTCGATACCCTCACCAGCATCTGTTTCCTTTTTAAACTTTGCTGTTAGTGCTGGAATGAGATGACATCTCATTGTTGTTTTGATTTGCATCTCTCTAATGGCCAATGGTTATGAGCATTTCTTTATGGTGTTAGTTAGCTGCTTGAATGTCTTCTTTGATGAAGTGTCTGTTCATGTCCTCTGCCTGGTTTTTAATTAGATTATTTGTCTTTTTGCTGTTAAGATGTTGAGGTTTTGTATAAATTTTAAGGATTAGCCCCTTGTCCAGTATATCATTGCCAATTTTATTCCCCAGTCTGTGGGTTCTCTTTTTATTCTTTTGGTTAAATCTTCTGGTGTGCATAAGTGTTTCATTGATAGGAGGTCCCAGTCATCTATTTTGTCTTCTGGTGTTTTTGTGCATTTTTAGTTATGTTCAGTTGTTTATTAATGGCCTGAGTTAGGGCCCATAAATTTTTTCATATTTTTTCTTTGATGGTCTGCATGGTTTTAAGTCTTATATTCGGGTCTTTGATCAATCTTGAGTTAGTTTTTGTATATGGTGTGAGATATGGGGCCTATTTCATTTTTCTGCAGAAGAATATCCAATTTTCCCAGCATAATTTATTAAAGAGACTGTCCCTTCCCCATTTAATGAGTTTTGGCCTCTTGTCAAAGATCAACTGTTCGTTTGTTGTTGTTGTTGTTATGTGCCATCGAGTCGGACCCGACTCATAGTGACCCCTCCTTGGGTTAGTAGCCAAATGCCTTAGGCACTATGCTACCAGAGCTCCTATCACCTTTCTTTAGAGATGGAAAAACTAATCAACTTTATGTGAAAGTAAAGAGAGCCTGGATAGGTACAGCACCACTAAAGAACAAAATAGGAGGCCTCACATTCCCCGATCTCAAAACCTAATACATAGCCATGGAAATTAAAACAACCTGATACTGGTACAACAACAGACACATAGACCCGTGGAACAGAAAGTAAATCCATCCACCTACGAGCATAGTGCCTAAGACACTTGACTGCTAACCAGAAGGCTGGCGGTTCAAACCCACCAGCCACTCCTCAGAAGGAAGGTTGGGCAATCTACTTCCATAGTGATACTGCCTCGGAAACCCAAGGAGGGGTCACTAGGAGTCAGATCTGACTCTGACGGCAGTGTGTTAAAGAAAGATGATGGAATCAGGATAAGGATTGCATTTTTTCTGTGGATTAGTTTGGGTACTATTGACATTTTCATGACGTAAGGTCTTCCTATTCATGACATGGTGTATTCTTCCATTTATGTAGGTCTCTTGGTTTCTTATAGAACTGTTTTGTAGTTTTCTTTACATGGGTCTTTTGTTCTTAGTTAGACTTATTCTGAAGTACTTCATCTTTTGGGTGGTTATTGTAAATGATATTGCTTTCCTGATTTCCTTTTCAGAGTTCTCTTCATTAGTGTAAAGGGCTCTGACTGATTTTTGTATGTTGATCTTGTACCTGCCACTTTGCTGAAACTTTCAATTAGTTCCAGTAATTTTCTTACTGAGTCTTTGGGATTTTCTATGTACAGGATCACATCATCTGCAAATAGAGATAGGTTTACTTCTTCTTTGCCGATTTGCATGCCTTTTATTACCTTTCCTTGCCTTATTGCTCTGGCTAGGACTTCGAAACAATATTGAATAGGAGTAGTACCAAAGGACATCCTTGTCTATTATAGCTACTTTTGTTACATGATTTTATTTCTTGAAATTGCCCAATATAGAACTATCAGAAACTATGGTGGTATGAAATAAAAAACAACACAAAACACTGCCGTTGAGTCAATTCTGACTCATAATGACCTCATTGGGTTTCCAAGGCTATAAATCTTCATGGAGGTAGATTGTCTCATCTTCCTCATGCAGAGCAGCTAATAGGTTTGAGCTGGTTAGCAGCCAAATGCCTTATCCACTACACCACCAGAGCTCCACTATAAACTTTAAAAAGTATCTAATTCAATTATTTAGTGCTAGATACTAGGGTGGAAGGGGGAGGTGGAGATAAAAACAAAGTTTCTGCACTCAAGGAGCTCATATTCTGGTTATAGAGGTTAGAGAGCATATTCATCTTTAACACTCATACAGGACAGAATAAGGTAAGGGTCATTAACAGAACTATAAATAAATGGGAGTTCAGACTGAGGAGAATTAGTTCTTGCTGTAGGAAATGGGTATACTGTGTTTATGAAGCAGATGACATGAGATCTGGATCTTGAAGGTAAATAATTTCATTGGAAAATATCCTAAGTGAGGAGAGTAGAATGATTATGATGAGAACAGAAGTAGTCCAGTTTGCCTGGAGTGGAAGGCACTAGTGAGAGGTAAAACTGAATAGGTAGATTGGAATGAGACTGTACAGGACCTTCAGTTCCTGGCCAAGTAGTTCAGATGTTACATAGTAGACAGTGAGGAGTCATTCAGTGAAGGCCTATACAATCAGATCTATCCTTAGGAAGATTAATCTAGTAGTAGTGTTTCTCAACTTTTTTCACATCATAGCACTAGTAGAAAATTATAACATTTTTACTGTATACTAGGATAAAGTTGATGAGATCTGGAGACTGGGATGAGTTGCTTACAGGTGGAGGCGATTGGCCTGGGGCCTCTGGCCATCCCAGGGGCTAAGGGGATCAGGAGACATACCAATTAGGAAACTGTGGCACATAAGACAGCTTGGTTCCCTATTTAGGTTCTCCTTTCAATTAAGAAACTATTATAATACCAACTGAGAAGCTGTGAGGGCCTAAATTAGGACAGGAGAAAGGAAGTGACTGATGGGCAAGAAAGTTGAAGATGTCAGTGCTGAGGACATGTTCTTTATACCTCTCATGCCATGATTCCCAGGCTTTAGCATGCCTAAGAATGCCTGCTTGCCCTTGCCCAGAGATTGATTTATTGGGTCCAGAGTAGAGTCCAGGAATCTGCATTTTAGCATTAACCTCTGATATTTTTGTTGCAAGTAGTCCTCAGGCCTTATTCTGAGAAACAATGTTCAAACAAAACACCTATTACAGCCTGGGAAACCCTATGGAGTGGTTCTACTCTGTCCTAAAAGGGGCACTATGAGTTGGAATGACTTGATGGCAGTGGGTTTGGTTTTTTGGATCTATTAGTTATGCAATACTACCTTGTAAATATTCAGTAAGTATGAAATAATAAGGACAACTTTCACCTTCTGATTATACAATAATGATTTTTACTTCTCGTCACTTTTGAACATCAGATAATTTCAGATCAGCTATCACTGACATAATTTAATTTATGATATGTCTCTTCTAGAAGATACCATGCACATTTTTTATGTATGCTATTAAAATAGAAGGAATTAAATTCAAGATCCTATTTATAGCAATTTCTATGAAGTCTTTGGAACAACTTCCTGGGTGTATCTAAAATATTGGGGTCAATGTAATTATGATAATATTAAATGGTGATTATCTTTTCTTTATAGCAATGAGGTTGCTATCAGCCCATCTGGAGTTAGCAAGTAGATTTATTCTTATGAAAAGACAAGCATTGTGTAATTATGAGAAATGATAAGTAGTAATTAAGGTCCAGAGTTATTCTTAGGTGGATTTATACTGCAAGAAGTAAATGAAGAATTGTCATGATTTGAAAATGGAGAACTGAAGGTTGATGGTCTGAGAATGAGGAAGGAGTAGAAGAATTTGGAGACTAAAGTTGACATTAAGGTTTACGTTTCCCTTAAGTTGTGAGTAGATAGGATTATTGTCTATGGAGAAACAGGAAAGTTTGTAGATGATTGGTAAATTTTTTGCACTTTTGATTTCTTCTTCAAAATGATGAATACCTACATGGAAAATACTCATCAGAAAAAAGTGATCTTGAGTAAGTGGAAATATCTGCCATGTATTGCATCACTACTGACCTCAGTGCAGGAGATTCCACAGATCATCTCGGCTTGAGTCCAACGACGCTGTCCTACATGGCTCAATGGCTGTCAACTTCTAATTGGACCTGGGAAATTGGAGTTTAGAAAGGATAAATAAGACTTGATTTTGGAGAACAATATGAATTTCTTAGCATGGGCTGGTTCTGTGGAATATGAATTAATATTTGCTTCCTCTCTGAGGAAAGTTACATTCATCCCTTTTATTACAGAAAAAGAAAACTGTGTTCTGTAGGAGAAAAATGGACAGCTTCCCAAAGGAGAGACTTAATTCTTTTGAAAAAGTCCAGGTTTTTCTGATATGAAAAATATTGTAAATTTGAAGCCTTAGGAAGGTTTATAACAAAAAAGGAGAGGTATCAGGAGCTCTCTGTGTTACCTTCCTGCTCCATTTCACCACAAGTTCCTGAGGTTCCTCATACCACTCCCTAACTTACCAAGTACTTCACAGCCACAATGACCACTTTCAGTTTCTTAAACCTGGCACAATTATTTTTGCTCAGAGTCTGCATGTTGGGTATTTCATCTGCCCTCTCTCATCTTCCTAAGTTTGGCTGGTTCTTGTCGTTCAAATCTCATGTCTTTTACATCTTCCCTGATTTCGCATTCTAAAAACTCTATTATGTTACCGGTCTTAATTCTCTGCACGGTGCTATCACTGTTTAGTATTTTTCACTTGTTTATTTGTTTACTAGCTTTGTTCCTTCATGAGATGAAGATATATATCATGCCATCTCTAATGAAGGCAGAAACTTTTTCTTTCTTCTTCTCCTTATATCCCCAATATCTAGAACAGTGCCCAGAACCTAGATAGAACTTAATAAATAAATGAATGAAAAACCCATAATTAATATATCATTTCTCTGCTAAGGACATGAAGAGATGTGAAGAATCCCTTACAATTAGGAAGAAATCTAGTATTTTATGTATTAGAAACTTCATTTTATCTCTATAAACTTTTTGAAATAATAGAAAAGAAATAATAGAAAAGCATGTACAACTTTTTTTTTCTGCTTTAATAAACAGAAATTTATTTTCTCACAGTTTAGGAGTCTAGAAGTCTGAATTCAGGGCATCAGCTCTAGGAGAAGGCTCTGTCTGCTCTAGGGGAAGATTCTTGTCTCAGCTTCTCTACTGTTCTTGACGTTCCTGGAGATCTCCACATGGTGTCTATCTCTCCTTCAATTGTGCTTGCTGGTTTCTGTGCCTAACCATCTCTATTTTAAAAAAAATTTTTTTGTTCTAATTTGGGTGAAAGTTTACTGAGCAAATTCCTTCACCATACAGCAGTTCATACACATTTTGTCTTGTGACATTGACTACAACTCCCCACAATGTAACAGCTCTCTTCCCACTTCCTCCCTGTAGTAAACCTCTTCCTTGTCTCTTTCCCTCCCAAAAGCACGCACAACTTCACACATCCTCTAATGGCACTTTGGTGTATTTTTTTTTTTTTTTTTGCCAGCTTTCCCCCTATTTCTATAGATTTGTTTTAAATAATTAGTATATTGTAGGTAGATTTTTTTTTGCCCAACTTTTTAAAAACTTAACACTGTATCATAAGCTTTTTCATCCATGTTGCTACAAAGTCTAAATAACTATAATTTTTAATGGCTAGATGATATTCTAAGAATCATTGCCTTTTAAGAGACTGATGTTAGCCTGACTTATCCATGCTGAAGACATTAAGCATTTAATCCCCAAGCATATGAAGGAAAGGACCATATGATGTTGTACCCTTCTAAAACAAAGACACAAACTTTTCCATACAGTTTTCCAATGTCCCATCATTTAAATAGACATTTTTTATGGTAATTCATATAAACAAAAATGATTATTCAGGAAGGACAGTCGTTTTGTTTGTTTATTTTAGTATAATTTTAATGAATTTGGAAGTTTTAAAGTATATGGAGAATATAATATGTCAAGCAAGTGATACTTGCTAACATCTCCAGGGAAGGAGTCCCACGACATGAAGGAGAGCAAAAAGCACAATAATACCTATCACCAGGAGTAGCAGCCCTAGGATGTCATCCTATTCTATGGTGTGCAGGTGTTGGGGTCACTGTGAAAGACATGACTTACACAAGCACTAGATAGAACAACACTGTGTTCACATAGAGAAGAGACAGAGCAAGATCAGTTTCAATAGTGGTGTTAGTCCCCTCTGGCTAATAGTTCTTGCTCTGCAGCTGAGACAGGGAGATGGTTTGCATGCACCCATCTTGTGCTACAGGTGCAGGACCACATTCTATCCTTGTGGGAGAACAGAGGCAGCAGTAGAATTGACCAGGTGCTTAGTTAAGCAGTTCTTTGGAACATTGACATGTGTTCAGGGCAAACGGGGAGGGATGTGCTGACATATCATTATCTATTATGGGATGTGGTTGGGTGGAGACACTCCAGAAAGGGAGGCAGCCCACACTAACATTCCTCCCAAGAAGACAGGCCAACACATCTGATCTTATGCATAAAGTTCATCCATGGGTCACAGGGAAAGGTGGCAGGCTGTGTTCAGAGACTTCCCCTTTCCATGTAATACATATAGCGTATAAAGATAAATATTTCTAATAGCTTAAGAACCTATTCTAATTTGGTAAATGTTAAGCATTACATTACCTCTCATACTTTTTCCTTGGTCATGGGGTAAAGATCAAAATTGTCTTAGAAGTCACCACCATGGGGTTTTTAATCTTCTAAACTGAGCGTTTTGACAGGGCAATAAGGAGGTAAGGCTTAGGAGAATATAAGTTGCTATTTCTTATTGTACCCCAGGATATACTAAAATCCATCCTCCCTTAATTTCAAGCTCTCTGCCTAACCAAACTGTGCTGTGAACCTATCCAATTTTCTTTTCTCAGGATTTGAAAAAATCGACATGTGTTCAGGGCAAAAGGGGAGGGATGTGCTGACATATCATTATCTCTTATGGGATGTGGTTGGTTGGAGACACTCCAGAAAGGGAGGCAGCCCACACTAACATCCCTCCCACCCCTAGGTGTCCATCAGCTAAGGAATGGATAACCAAACTATGGTACATATTCACATTGGAATACTATACAATGCTAAAGAATAATGTAGAATCTGCAAAACACTGCATAACATGGATGAACTTGGAGGACATTATGCTGAGTGAAGTAAGTCAATCACAAAAGGACAAATATTGTATTAGTCCGTTATTGTACAATATACAAATATTGTATTAGTCGGGTCTCATTTTGACCCCATGCTTTTCTTACTAATGGTTGTTTTTCTATTTTTGCTCCTATTTAGGTACTGGTTGCTGGAATGGCTGTTTCACCCATTCAGGATGGAGAAGGGAATAGTGACATATGGAAGCAAGTTTCTACAGAGTGATAAAATTTTTTTACAATCAAATTGTGATTTCAGAATATAGCACACTGGCTGTCCCTGATCAATGCAAAAATATTTTTGAATGTTTCATGGTGAAGTTTGAGATGCCTGGTAAGCAACCTTTTAATATGCCCAGAATGTGTGGGTTTTTAAGGATTAGTGATGATATTTTAAATTATTATAATATGTCATATCAATTGATGCAGAAAAGGCATTTGATAAAATCCAACACCCATTCCTGATCAAGGCTCTCAGCAAAATAGGAATAGAGGGGACATTCCTTAACATAATAAAGGGCATTTATGCAAAACCAACAGCTAACATATTCTCAATGGAGAGAGACTGAAACCATTCCTCTTGAGAACAGGACCCAGACAGGGATGCCCGCTATCACCACTTCTATTCAACATTGTACTGGAAGTCCTAGCCAGGGCCATAAAGCAAGAAAGGGAAATCAAAGGCATCCAAATTGGTAAGGAGGAAGTCAAACTATCCCTATTTGCTGATGATATGATCCTATACCTAGAAAACCCAAGAGA